CATGACTTTAAGCTCACAAGAATCCATTTTGTGTAATATTGGACCTTTAAAGATATTAGTTTGTGTTTTAATCAGAGGTGGGACCAAGTCGTTGTTTTGTAAGTCTCAAGTCAGTCTCAAGTCTTTGACCTCAAGTCCGAGTCAAGTCCCAAGTCAAATACAGGCAAGTCCAAGTCGAGTCTCGAGTCACTGGCCCATAAGTCCAAGTCAAGTCCAAGTCAAGTCCAAGTCGTCTGCTTTGAGCTTCAAGTCATTTCTTTAAACCAAAGTATGAATGTTCCAGTTTGTTTCTGTAAAATTAAGCACCACATTTACCAACTGTAAACAGAAAAGTATTTTCTAAAAACATATATTTTTTTAGGAGAAGCTTCAAGTCTCCTCAAGTCACAGGGCTCAAGTCAGAGTCAAGTCCCGAGTCACTGACCTTCAAGTCCAAGTCTAGTCCCAAGTTTTAGTCCATTTTATCAAGTCAAGTCTCAAGTCCCAAAAATAGTGACTCAAATCTGACTCGAGTCCAAGTCACGACTTGCAAGTCCTCACCTCTGATATTAATTAAGTAGTTTCTAAGCTTGAGTCTTTCATAATAAACTATAATAAAGTATTTTTGTTCAGTGTTTTATTAAGACTAATTATATGTAGTTAAAAAAATTCTTAAAAAATATCTATGGGCAAATTAATATGACCAGAAAGAAATAACACATCTTATTGTCAACCAATTTGGAATATATATATATATATATATATATATATATATATATATATATATATATATATATATATATATATATATATATTTTTTTTTTTGAGCAACATACTAGAGATGTAACAATAACCAAAATATCGCTATATCATATCGTCAAAAGTCTCACAATAATATCGTGGGCTGTCACAATATATCAAATTATAAGTTCCTTTGCTTAAATGCATTGTTTTATAGTAGCAACAGCTTAAGAACATAGGGAACTACATTTCCCATGATTCATTTCAGCACAGACAATATGAAGAAATACGTTTTTTACTTGAATTCTGGGATTATGATGGAAATAAGTCACATCAAATTCTTGTCAAGGTATTTTAAAAGCAAAAAAGTGTCTTATCTTCAATTATACCAGCCTCTCCAAAATATTGCAATAAATATCGCACTGTGAGATGAATATTTTGATATTGTACCGATAGATTTGGATATCGTTACATCCCTGCAACTCACATATTTTCTGCCGCAGTATGATAAGTTTTGTTCCATGGGTAGTTAATTTTCATTGTCAAGTCAGATCTATTCTAATACAATTCTCTAAACTCAAGTGATTTTAACTTACCCAGACAGTCCATTTTGCAGTGTTTAGCTTCTGCGCAACACTCAATGATTTGTATAACAGCCTGATCTATAAATGAGAAATAACAGCTGCATATGGCACAGACTTCCCCAAGGCCTCCCCTCACTTTGAAGGTCCATTCCTCTTGGCGGGACTCCAACATCTGAGTCAGTAATGTGGGGTTATGTTTCTCCCAAGAAGATTTTATTCACTATTTTGTACATAAAAAGAATACACAGTGTTTCTGCAAAGTTGAGGTCATTTTAAACTGGATGCCCTTCCTAAGTAAACGCTTCAGTAAGTTTAGAAGAGTAATACAAGTTTTTAGTGCTGTGTTTAAATCTACAGTATATTATAGCTTGACCTTGGTGATCTTTCTTCAATTTATGATCTGTCAAACTCTCAGAAATCACCATGTAACTTTGCTCGTGGAGAGTGTGCCGTCTGCTTGTCTCCATGGAGATGTGAATGTTATGTAATGTCGCACAGTATGGCATTAAAGTTAGTCTCTGTCTCCATGAATGCAAAAGCAGGTGAGGTAACACCACTAAATCAATAATATATGTGGAGAAGGAACTTTTCATGGTCATTTTTATAGATTAAAACACCTATAATTGGATGCAAGATTGATGTGTTTAAAGCCACACTGTGTAACATTCAATGCAAAACAATAATTTAAGATGAGAAAGCACAATTTACTTACTTTTTTTAAGCGCTTTGAATGACTTTGTGTACAAATTGTTCTATACAAATAAACTTGCCTTGCCTTACTCCACTGGCAGCAAAGCCATCTTGAAATTAAAGAGAAAATAAAATAAAAGTGTAAAGTCCAAACATTCATGAAGCTATAGTTGATGCTTGTTCCACAAAATAAAAGAATCCAGATCCACAGAGCGCATTTCCAAGTGCATTTAAAAGCTCTTTACTGAGTATTCACATAATTGGCACATACAAATACATACAAAAAGGGGAAATTTTAGTATTTAGGTGACAGGAGGTCAAAAAACTGTTTGGTTCCACTCCACATTCCCATCGCGCACCTGCCCTTGCCTTAAATAAGGAGCCATAGACCACAAAATAATACAAAAAATAAACATTATAATTAACATTAGCAATAATTAATTGAAAGAAAAATAAGTAAATAGATCAAATTATTTTTTAGCAAATAATCAACAAATAATCATGTTAACCATAAAGAATGACCAAAATACCAAAAATCATGCATTTTAAGTAAATATTAAATAAAACAAAATAAGAATAATTATCTCAGTAATGAAAAAATGACAAAACTGGGTTTAGGCTCCCACAAAAAGTACTGACGTTTTAACAGATGAAATAGTCCAGATTGAGCAGGTAAATAAGTACAATGTCAGAACTCGTCATACTGTGACTGAAGGACATTTTCAGTCACTGTGGAGCTGGGAGTGGACAGTGAACTGCACTGTGCACGCCACTGGAGCAGTTTATCCTCTTGGCTGTAAATAAGTTTGTGTAACAGTAGAAGTCACGCACACACAGACACATGCACACACACACACACACACACACACACACACACATAGACACACGCTCACATACACACGCACAGAAGATGGTGTGACTAATCTGTTCGCTCAATCTGACTCCTCTGCAGCACCACACATGTCCACAGCCACAGCACAAACATACAGAGAGAGAGAAAGAAGAGAGAGGGAGAGAAAGAAGAGAGAGGGAGAGAAAGAAGAGAGAGGGAGAGAAAGAAGAGAGCGTGTGAGAGAGAAGGAGAGAGAAAGACGAGAGATTTTTTTATTTCTAACAGACCTTAATTGTGTCCGTCAAAAACATTTAGCATTGAATTCCATCCACACCTCGTGCTATTTACATGAAAGTATTGACATGACATTACAGAGAAGGAAAGAAAGAGAAGTAGAGAGAAAGAAAGAAAGAAAGGGACAGAGAGAGTGGGAGAGAGAGAAAGGAGAAGAGAGAGAGATATTATTAAGTAAGAGAGAGATTTACTATATTAAGTGCAATTATTGGCTTTTTTTATAAAAAAAAAAAAATAGTATCAAATGAAAATGCTGCTAAAATGTTAATCAAAAAATTGCAATAACATAACATCTTTTTTTCCTTTTTTTTTTTTTGGTGTCAGGACTTAAAATGAAAGTGGCTTCTGAATTATTTTTATTTATTTATTCATTCTTTTTTTTTTTTTTTTATTCTAAATAAATGAAATTTAAATCTCAAAGGAAAAAAAACAAACTGCTTAGAGTGTGTACAAACCAAGTCCAGACCAGATGGACCAGGTCTAAACTAAGAAAGAACAAGACAGATTTCAGTCAGGACTAAGTATGGACAAAGAAACTTGTAGATCTAAACCTGTAAGTCTAGACCAGGTCTGAACCAGGACTAAGCTACGTAACAAAATCCAAACTAGAGCTGAGTGTTTTAAAATGTCCATGTTTTGTCCTCGTTGCACACAGAAATCCCTTCATTATTTCTGTGTTTAAAAAGTCACTCAACAGCGCCACCCTTTGGACAACACCGGTTAAACTGAAGAATCTCAGAGTCATCTCTTGTTTAATTTTTAATGAAAATAAAATGCAGCTTTTTACAGTAATCTTTCCACACCTTTACTGTTACAAAAAGTGTATCAATAAGAACAAGGTCGTATAATCCGGTGAAACAATGACAACTCACTACAGCATTTTACAACAAATAATAAATTACATTTTTAGATAAATTACTATTATGTTTTATATAAAATGTATTTCTCTACATAGGATTAAGGACAGTGACGTTACATTCAAAGCGATATTTACAGTTTTACACACACATACACATACGCACACATTCATAACAGGGCTTAACGGGCAACCAGCCAAAAAACTAAAAGATTTTCATTCTAGTTTTAAACACAATCAGTCCCACAAGACACTTTAGTCATATTTTGTGACAGATTTGATCGCTGTCAAGACACAGAATCAATTTAAACTTTAAGATTTAACTCTAGCTCAAAAGTGCACTGTGTATCTTCTTAGTTTGCCTGTAATGTTCCGCAGTGTGTCATTAAACTGATCTGTCATTACACGTATTCAGGTGTAACTCATGTCATTCTGTGATCTGGCAACACCTGCATGTCTCCATCCAGAATTTAAACACTGTTGGCCAAGTTACTTCAAAACTGTAATGTGTTATTTATGACTTGTTACTGTCATTTCAAAGTAATTTGTTATATTACAATATTACTGCATTTAAAATGTAAAACATAACATGACTATTACAGTACTTTAAGCTGCTCTCGCCAAAATAACTGTGCAAACTTTTGTGCTGTATATGGACTGAACCAGGACTAAACCAGAATTGAACAAGAACTGAACCAGGAATAAACCAAATCTTAACCAGGACTGAACCAGGTCTAAACCAGGTCTAAACAAAGACTACACCAGAACTGAACCAGGTGTAAATCAGGACTAAACCAGTCTAAACTAGGTCTAAACCAGGACTAATCTTGGACTAGGACTTGGAATCCAGGACTGACCGATCGGGCGTCAGCTGTGATTAGCCCCAGAGAGTGTGGAGTTCTGTGCCGGTCCTTTCGCCCGCAGTTACCCGACGGTCCTGACCATAACTTTGGTGTTTCACTGCTGCTGATATCGCAGTGATTTTAGCGAATTTGTATAAAGAAAAACAAAAAACCATTCAGTCCAGGTTAAAAAAAAGCATTAAAACGTGAGTCACTGACATTTGTACCGTGTAAAATATTAGTTTTTTTCCCCCTGTAATGCCTTATGTTACTGCGTTACAGCAAAAAGCAATATATTACAGTAATTCATTACTTTTATAACTCATTACTCCCAACAATGAATTTAAAGCAGAACTGTGGAACATTCCCTGCAAAGCAACTTCATGGAGACAAGCAGAAAAGACACACAGTGCACCTCTGAAGCACTTTTACTACAAATTACTACACCATAACATTACGTCTCATAATAGTGGCCACTTAAAACCATCATTGGCCCTTTAAGACGAGCCACAGTGATCCGTGAGCCCAAAAAAAAGCCACAGTCCAGCCCTGTTCATCTTCATCTCACAGTCACACACTCCACAGATGCTCCCGTCCACACACACAAAAACCACCGCTGCGTCTGTCTGCTGTTACATGAAGAATAATGGGTTAGATGTGAATAAATGCAGTCTATAACGACAGATCTCGTAACTCTAAACTGTTACAGTGCAAAAAAAGAATATTTACAAGAGTTAAAACCACTTGAAATGAAAATCTTGATTTAAGGCATTTTGACTAGTTAAGATTTATTTAGTTTAGAGGACGAATTTGGCAGTTTCAGTGTATTCCTGGCTAGTTTTGATATATTTTGTTCATGTTTCGAGAGATAGAGTGGGACTAGTGACTCATTTAAGTGGTGATTTCTTATCTCACTGACAGGTTTATTTTCTACTAATTAATCCTTGAAATATTTAAAGGTCCTATACTACACAAAATTAACTCCTGTGAGGTTTAAGCCATGTTATAATGTTGTTATCTCATCCAAAACAGAGCAGTGATGTTTATTTTCATGCACACGTGTTTGAGTAATCCTGAATTAGTCTGTCTACGTGAGCAAAACTCAAAACAACTCCTTTTACCTTTAAAGATTGGTCTGAAATTATCCAAATGATTCTAATGAAGGTGTACGAAGTTTAAAAACACAATGGAGCACTTCATGTATTAAAGAGTTTTTTCAGTTTGAGAGAAGAACTTCGCCGAGTTTTTGTGTTAAACATGTGTGAATGAAACAAAACACATCTCCAGGTCTGTTTATGATGAGGAAACAGCATTATAATAAATTGTAGCTCAGAAAATGTTCTAATATGGGATCTTTAAAAACCCAAATGAATCCAAACGAGTTCAAACTACTTAAACCAAGACATTGTGTAACTCATGTAAGTATTATTTTTGACCGTGATATAAGCGCCAACTATATTCAAGAAATTATAGACATTAAAACATATCCAACTTTATACAGATTCTTCGCCCTCCAGTAGCTACTGTGGAGAGTGAGCACTTTGCATTGAAAAAAAAGAGCAAAAAAAAAAAAAAAAAACTGAACATTTTTACAGAGAAAATATCACCAGACTAAAAGATATAGTACAACAAGTGTTTAAGGTTCAGAACATATTGCTTGTTTCAGTCGAGAAGCCACAATTAAACTAAAATAGCTTCAAAAATCAAAAAGCAATACATGTGAATTTTTTAATCATTCATGGTTTGCAATTTTTTTTTATATATAATTTGTCTTCTGTTTTTTTAAATAAGTAAAATATGGAGACCCTGACCATAAACATTCATTTTCGTGATGAATTAAAACTCTTAATGTCTCCTACAATCTACTAGTTTTATTGCGTGTGTTGCCATAGTTACGTACTTTATTTGGTCGCTTTCTGTCATTTCTAGACTCCTTTGGTTCGTTTATTCTGCAAATTGAACTGAACGGAAAAAAGTGAAGGACTTGCATTGGCAAACTAAACCAAAACACAAATGCATAAAGTGTAGGACTGGATCATGTTAAACTGAGAGGGATGAAACACAATTCTGCCATGGGAACAATTTTCTGATACAATATTGACTCTGATATTGCGAGGAGGGTAATGATGAAATAAAAATGCACTGGAGATGGTGCACTGAGATATTGGAACAGGTCAGAATCCTGTTGTGAGGTGTTTGATATTGAGATAACAAAATACCATGCTTATTGCTTAAGTTTCAAATGACATCAGATAATTAATGGAGTCTAATATCTTTAACTTCTTAGGTTCTTTTAAAAGACAATACAGTGGAATGTATTTACTTTGTTGACATGTTTCGGCTGCTGCTGTAAGTCATCTTCAGGAAATATCTCTCAAAAAGTGAGGCAGATGTGCGTCCTCTTATGATGCGCGTGAGTTTATAGATATTAAAAACAGCACGGAGCAGTGAGGACAGCGATAGATGAGAGGCAGCTGAACTTCTGTTTGTCACAGTCCTTATTGAAGGTAAGCACAGGTTTGCCATGTGTTTTGGAGCAGATTTTATTCACTGCTTTCCTCAGCACACCTGACAGGGATGGTAGAGTAAAGTTGTGCATGTCTATGTACATGAGCAACCGTGCTGTGCTCTGGTACGCCTCCTCCAACCAGACCAAAGTTCCAACTGTGCCGTGCCTAGCCCGGTTTTGCTCCATCCATCCAGTTTCTTCTGCTTTATCCAGGGCCGGGTCGCAGAGGCAGCAGTCCAAGCAGGGACTCCCAGACTTCCCTTTCCATGCACACGTCCTCCAGCTCCTCCAGGAGGATCCCAGGGCGTTCCCAGGCCAGCCCAGAGACATTGTCCCTTCAGCAGGTCCTGGGTCTTCCCCGGGGCATCCTTCTGGTGGGATGTGCCCAAAATACCTCCCAGATGCCCGAGCCACCTCAACTGGCTCCTCTTGATGTGAAGGAGCAGTGACTCTACTCCGAGCTCCTCCCGTGTGACTGAGCTCCTCACCCTATCTCTAAGGGAGCGCCCAGCCACCCATTTCAGCCGCTTGTCTCCACGATCTTGTCCTTTTGATCATTACCCAAAGCTCATGACCGTAGGAACGTAGATTGGTTCTAAAGTCCTAGTGTGAGTGCATCCTAAGAGTTTGTAGGAGTCTGAGTAAAACTGTAGTATTGTCCATTTATAAATTTAGCAGAAATTATATCTTTAGCTAATAGTTTTACCCTGGGAATCTCCTGTCACCGGTGTTGGTGGTGACGTGTCATGTATCAGTTGTTGTTGATTCCTGTAGGCGTGGTCAGGGTCGCTCAGACTGACCACGCCTCCAGTCACCCGGTGTTCTCTGGAGGAGGGTGTCCCAAGTATGTGAAATGAAGAACGCTCTGTCATCACGGTTAATGCTATCCATGTCCCGTTTCCTGATTTCACTGTCCTCTCTGATCCAGCATTTGAACTTTTTGTTTTCAGATCCAATGACCCGAGCCCCGTCCGGTTATTTCTTTTACAGTAATCCAATATGGCAGACTTTAGGTTCCCCTGTTCTGCTTTGTCATTTTGTGTTCTGGTGAGTCTCTTTGATCAGGTCCATTAGGCTGACCACGCCTACAGGAAGTAACAACCGCTGACATACGACACGTCACCACCAACACCAGTGACAGTTCTGAAAATGGCAGCTGCAGCCGAAACATGTCAACAAAGTAAACACACCTTACTGTACTGTCTTAAAAAAAAACAAGAAGTTAAAGTGCATAAGTAGACAAAATGAACATCCTTGGCTTGACTATAAAATCTAATGGAAGTGAGGAAGGCGCATTAAATAATTATTAATCTGCTGATGTGCTGTAAAATACCAAGTTCATAGGCCTAGTCACTTTTACAAATGATGTTTCAAGGCTTGTGGTTTTCACTTTAATAGGGAAATTTGCTCTTGTCCGCCCATCTGAGAAAATGATTCTAATTAGTTGTTGCCATACTATAATTTAAAACTCTGCGTTAATGAAAAAGTTGATACTTAGTACCAATTTCAATACTGGACTGATTTTTAAAAAAATGTGTTTTTAAGATAATAGAATGTAATTTTTCATTCAAATTAATAGAAGTTTCTTTTAATATTTCCATGTGGTCTTAATAAGTTCTGACATTGATCAAGACCACCCAAAAACTGTTTAGAATTTTATCCTAGTTAGGTCATTTTTTTTAGTATCTAGTTTCGATACTTGTTTTGGTATTCGTCTAACAATACTTAATTTTAATATCTTAAAGCCACCACTTGTTTCATACCTAATCCTAAACCCAGTGGAGTTATATGGTCTCTACAAACTTTATTTCTGTATATCTGGGTGATGTGGTCCTTCACTTGTTGCACTCCAAGGCTCTCTGTGATTGGTCGGTCAGTGTCTCTTCGCACGCTGAGCACTCTGGGTACATGAGGCGCAGCAGGCCGTTTTGTAGTAAGAGTACACGCACAGCCTGGCCTGCACCACCATCACGCAGTTATGACGTCTGTCCTTACAGTTCTCATCTGGGAGCACAGGAAACAGAAACAATGTGTTTTATTTAATTAATAATAACAGTAAAAAATATATAAATAGTAAAATATAAATCTTCTGAATTTTAAAAGCAAAAACAGAATGTGTAAAATACATTAAAAAGAAAAGTGTGAAAAATCCCTCAGTCGTCTCAGTCATAGAATCCATGGCAAAGGAGAAATTCAATGTCGATTGGACAAAAGTTCATTTGGACGAAAATGTTTCGCAGCTCATCCAAGCTGCTTCTTCAGTTCTGGACAGAATACTGGTGGACACTTCCTTATATCTGTCTGCAGGGAGGAGCTAAATAACTACTCTTAAACTAACACACCTACTTGTTTACAGTTTCTGTTAGACTGAAACTTCTGACCAGAACTGAAGAAGCAGCTTGGATGAGCTGGATAACCTATTTGACCAAATAAACTTTTGTCCAGTTGACAAATTGAGTTTCTCCAAAAGAAACTCTCCAACAGAAAAAAGCTACATCTAAATGTAATGTATTTTTCATGTCTTGAATCTTAGAAAAAAATACATAAGTTCTATCTATATATTAGAAAGATATAGGATTTCTTGTGACTGGTCTCATATTAAACTGGTAATTACATTTTTATTTTTCATTCACAGAGTTAATTTATGGATATGAAGTACTGAAAAAGTTAGAAACTCACAACACATTCTATTAATTGTCAAAAGTCCTGCAAATGGCTCAAATAATTATTCATATTAGAATTGTAACTCTAAAATGTGCTTACTTGACCTTCCTGTGTACATGTATACAGGTGATACAAATGTTAAGACACAACTGAACACAAAAAGAAAACTGTCCTAAACTGTAAAGCGCTCACCTGCGACCTGAGGACTGCAGGGGATGGTGTTACAGAACTGCTCTTGTTCAGGTTTAGAGGCAGGATCACACTCCAGGCTGTGCTTTTTCTCAGCCGTGAGACACCGCACCTCTCTCATCTGTACGCCTTTACCACACGAGCGAGAGCACTGGGGAGGAAATCAACAAAATTATCAATTCAGAAAACCAACAATGAAATTACAATTAGAAACACCCTCTGATGTAAAACAAGACACCACGGCTCTTAGCTCTCTCCTTAACATGCATCTCCTCAACTATTTCTACATAAAACTGGGAAAAAAATGTGAATATTGTGATTTAGACTAGTTTACATGATTTTACTTTTGCTCAAACTGTTCTAGTCTAGTTCCATTTTTGAATCACATGAATAAGTTGAATAATGATCATTGGAAGTAAACTTGACTGGATTTGATCAAGGGGGGATAGAATAACATTTTTATTGCATTACACGAGGGTAAATGGCAAGCCTCCAATGTTTCTTTTGACTGCAGTTTTTCATATGGCAAAAATGCCTTAATGTAAACTAGTTTGTCACAATACTAAAACCACAAACTCAATTTCAATACTAAGGAAAATGGTTGATGTTCAATACCAATTTGGTCTCACAGATGGCAATAGATTAGAATACATTTAAACAGCTGTAAAGGAAAGAAAAAGTGCTGTCTCACCGCGCTCCACTCTGTAGTGAACCACTGGGGCAGACACTCCCCCATGTCACACTCCTGTACCGGCGCAGGCTTCTCCAGGTGAGAGCACTCGGCCGCCTGCACCACACTGAAGTCTGCTCCGGTCCTCTGCACACAGATGATGTCCCGACGCTGCGTGCCACTCCCACATCTCACATTGCACTGGGAATGAAATAAAGCACAACTAATGCATTTATTTTTGGCAAACCTGCAACATTACATCGAGCTGGAATGGTTCTTGAACACTGGATCATGTGTGACCTATTAGTAATTATGGAGCCAGTGAAAAAATGCTATGACTATGTACAACAATTTACACAATATTTAATTTAAAATACAATATTTTCTACAGTCAACTTTTTCTGGGGTCCTATATTTTAAAAGTCACAAACCTTTGCAACCCAAGTCAATAAACATTATTTGTAAATCACATAAATAAAGGTGGATTTGACCATTATTGAACATTAATGAGGATATTTGATTGTTGACTGAGTGATCGTGTCTCTCTGAACAATTAGTATTACTCAAGTTTTAAACAATGAAAAACAGTAATTGAACCAGCAATAAAATGATCCATAAGTCGCCTATTTGGACATTAAATGTTGCCCATTTCTTTTTCTTTTCAAGCATTCAACTGAACCAGAAATACTGGAACAAACATAAAAAATAAAATAATTACAAAAAGATTAGAAATTATACAAAACATGCCCTAATATTTCAATTTATGTCAGAACTGTATATTGCAGACCTACATGCAGATCGTGACAAAGCGACCCCCAAAAAAATCTCTTGCGATCCACCTGAGAGTCACGACCCAGTCTTTGTGAAACAACGCACTAGAATACATCCCAAACTTTTCAGACCAAGACTCTTAAAATAACCACACTACTGACTTGGGACGCCCATTGTTGAAGGAAATTGACGTCTATGATAAATTCAAGATGCAAGATGGTTTCATTGTATTTTTTTGTCATGGTAAATGTGTTACTTGATATAATTTTACTTTAACTTATACATTCACTGTAACATTTTGACTTGTTTCCTCTCTTCCTACCTGAGTCCATGGGCTGGTGTACCACATGGTGACAGCGGCACAGGGTCCTCCGTTGCAGGCTTTCATCTCGGCCGGTTTCTCTGCAACACAGTTTTCTTCTCCGCCTCCTTCTTTAACATCACCGTGAGTCAGACACACCACCTCCCTCCTCTGCACCCCGGGACCACACTGAGCTGAACACTGGACACAAGAAAGAGCCATGGTACTGGTTTAATAACAGGTCAGTATTGTACATCTTCCTAATCTATGAAAATTATATACAATATGTTTAGATTTTGTTATACATAAACTGTATCAAACACAGTTTGAATCAATTTTGTGCACTTTCTATCTCTTAACAGGTTTCAGCTTCCTGTCACACTGCAAAAAACTAAATCTAATCAAGTTAAGATGACTTGAATTAAAAAAAGTTTTATCATGATTTGAGTAAATTTCACTTGACAAGTAAAATTATCTGCCAGTGGAACAAGACTTTTTGTGCTTAAAATATGAAAACACATCTTGCTACACTTAAAATATGAAAAACAACTACTTTTTGCACTTAAAATAAGAAGCAAAAATGTTGCTTGAATTAAGAAAAACTAGTTTTTTTCCATTGCATTTGCGGAATTTTGAGGTCATTTTCCAATTATATAATATTTAGTTAGAAATTGTTCGCTATGGCAACACTTCAAATTTGTCAACATTATGAAAACCACTGATAGTTTGATCATGAGGTCAAAATATGAAGTGAAGGACAGGGTCAAATAAACATAATTCTACGTCTGCGGTCACAGTTCTGGTTTGGTCCTGATTGATCCTAGTTTAGTCCTTTTGTAAACTTGGTTTAGTCCTATTATAGTCCTGGTTTAGTCCCAATTTTGAGGTGGTGTGCTTGCTTATGTTTGACAACCCACAGTATTTTGAAAGATCCAGTAGGTTGGGGACTAATGTTGAACTGATTCTCAATAGTGACTTTCTCAACAAAATCGATATGATGTTTATACATAATTTAAGCCTGGCCTTCAAATCAAATTCAAATAAAGTCGATTTACAATGATACGTCTTTATTTGTGTCACTTACACTTTGGGACCAGCTGCTGAAGTACCAGTTGGTGACACAGGGGCCCATGTTGCACTCCTCGCTCCCCTGAGGTTTGTGTCTGGAGTTACATTCTTTATCATTGACCACGCTGCCCTCCTCACTGACACATCGAACACTCCTCGTCCTCTTCCCCACGCCACAGTCCACCGAGCACTGCCGACAGACAAGCAAAAGTCAATAACAGCTTCATAATGTTTAGAGTTTAGAGTTTCTCAGACTCAGATGACATGGGAATATACACATAGTTTCACACTGATTTAGACCTGGTTTAATTCTGGCTAGACCTGAGTTTGGTTTTGTTCTGGATTAGATTTAGTATTTGGTTGTCTGGAAAAGCACAATATAAAACTAATTATTATTATAATTAGAAATGATTTGATGATATTTTAAAATGAAATAGATTGAAGTAGAAATCAATTTCGATAATAAGGAAAAGGCCCAATACTCAAATCTCCATCAATAATAAATAGCATCTTTTTAGACAAGTTAATGTAACGTTAGAATATTGTAATTGTAGTTTCTGTAAAATTGTCATGTGGTCTTATACTGATGATTCTAAAACTATCCATGAATAGTCTAAATCAGTGTTTCCCAAACTTTTTTTCCGGGGACCCATATTTTAAAAGTTACAAAGCATTCGTAAATCACAAAATAAAGGTAGATTTGACCATTATCAAACATTAATGAGGATATTTTATTGTTGACTGAGGGATTGTGTCTCTCTGAACTATTAGTATTACAACAAGTTTTGAAAAACAGTAATTGAAGCAGGAATAAAAGGATCCATAAGTCGCATATTTGGACTTTAAATGTAGCCCATTTCTTTTTCTTTTCAGCATTCAGTTGAACCAGCAATATCAGAACAAAATAATCAATAAAACAATTATAAAAAGATTAGAAATTATACAAAACATATCTTGACATTTCTAGAGATAGGTGGGCCTGTGTTATTGTATAGCGTTCCAGTCTGGGGTGCAGGAGGAGAGCACAACACACATATCAGGCGCAGCATTCAGTCTGTTTCTGTGATTTGTCTTCATTTTTGTTAGCACAGAAAATCCCAGTTCAAACATGTATTAGTGAAAGTAGTGAAGTAGTAGTGAAAGGAATAAGCACAGAAATACTGCCCTACTAAGGACAGGATATTCTAATAACCTACATACAGATCGTGACAAGACGACCCAAAAAAAATTTCTTGTGACTCACTTGAGGGTCAGTCTTTGGGAAACAATGGTCTAAATTGAGCTGTACTTAAAATAAGCACCAAGGCCTTTTCCCTTTTTACTTCAACTGTCAGTCGTGTGGTTCTGGCTGGTCAGGTAAATCTGGTCCTGGGTTAGTCCTGGTTCATGCCCTACTTTAGTCCTGTCTTTGTCCATACTTTCACAGTTCACAGATTACACCTATTAGAATAACACTGAGGATTCTGTGGTAGTGACTCACCGAGCTCCAGTCTGAGCTGACCTCCCAGTGCGAGCACATGCGGAGCTGGCAGGGCTGGGTGGACTCTGGGGGAGTGAGTCCGGCGCAGCGCTGGGGGTGGACCATAGTGTGACGGTCCCCGAAGCTCTGCCTGCACTGGAGCTGTCTCTGCTGCAACCCGGGACCACACGAGACACTGCACTCTGACCACGAACTCGTCTCCCAGCTGACAAAAAACAAATATGTTTTTATATAATCGTCAGTGTTATTACAGTCTCAGTGATCAAAGTTAAAAGAGACGCAGCATGTTTCATGTTTGACAAAACAGGCAAATGTGAATTTCCAATAATATTTTTGTTATAACTTCATTTCCTCCTTGAACAGAAAAGCTGCAATGAACTTTGACTAGTATGGTCATGATGAAGACAAAGGCTCACTGTGTAAAGGACTTTAATGATAGTAAATAGTGCTTTGTTTTTAAATTTTAGTGTTGGATTTGGCTCTTTATGTTTCATTTATTACGTTGATCTTAAGTTTACTACCTACTACTTTGAAAAAAACAAAATAAGTAATAAACCAATAATAAACTAACCAGTAACCAGTAACCAGTAACTAAGATTTACACATTTTTAGCTATTTACAAAAACTGAAAATGTACTAAAATATATTTGGAACAGCAAAATGTTCTGTCTTTATTATCATCAGTTTGGGTAAAGTAAATTGGTCTAATTCATTGACTTTGTTTATACTCTCCTCTTTAAATAATACAAACTTAAATGACTTATTGTTATATTAATATATTATCTGTTGTAGTAAATGTGCAGTGACTCACAACGGGGGGCATGGATGTGTGTTGCACGGCTCCTCCTCTGGCGAAGGTTTAGTGGCTGAGTCACACTTCCTGTCGGGCACTTCCTGGTCTGTGTGGCGGTTTATGCAAAGGATCTCTCTGTATTGAGTACCTGAAATTGTAAAAGAATAAAAATAGCGAAGAATGTAAGGTTAGTAATTCTAGTAACATACTGCAGTAGCTTCCTTCAACCAGAGGGGGGAGACTTCTTATCATTTACTGTATTGTCTATGTAGGTCTGGGCTCTAAATAGGTTAAACTCTAATTTCAGATGGAGGACAGGGTCTATAAAACTACGAGGTTGACTGACTATTTTTGAAAGAAATACTGAAAGTGAAAAATGGTTGAAATGTTGAACTAGTCAGAAGAAAAATGAATATCATGATGTAGAGACAAGAGTGAAAACATGCACACCGTGGTTCATCCGTTCTCACAGAAAAGCCCATTGTAGCTCGTACTTTATTCCAGATGTTGTTTCATATGGATAGACCCAATAATTACAGCAATATAAATCATAAATTAGGTCAAAACATCTGCATTTTGACACCTGGAAGGCCCATTCCTACTTTCTGTCCAGTGTTAAATGATAGGTTCTTTAGAAAGTCGTGATGTCATGTGAGCTATGGCCAGAAACGGGGCCAAAATGTCAATAGCTCTGATGCTCTGTTACTCAAGTTAGACTTTGATCTGAGTTTTATTTGAACACAATCTGATCATTAAGAGCTGATTTGGTTAGAACTGGAATAGGTGAGCAGATTTGTGTGCTTAAACAAGTCTCGCACACATAAAATTACAGTGACAGCCTAGCATTAGTCAAAAGTTTTTCAGTCAGTCACTCTCCCCTTTTGTTGAAAATCAAACTCCTAAACAGGACCATGAACGCTCGTATTGATCACAGGCTCCTGAAAATGTGCTGTTTAAATCCATTTGGCATTTTCCCTTGTAAATCTGAAAACTTTTGTGTCTGTGTTTGCCAATGTCACTATGGCATCTGCTGAACATTCTGCCAAATGAGATACATGTAGAACACCCCCAGCGTGACCTCGCTGCAAAGCATCAATTGCCAGCTGTGTATTGTATCAAATCGTGTGGGACCCTGTGAGTCCCAGCCCGAAGTGAACCACCCCATGAGCTCTTGGCTAAATGACACATTATACACGTGTAATAGGATTATATGTCCCTGACCTTTGCCACAGGAAGCGGTGCACTCCGTGAGCGCTCCTCTCCGCCACACAAACGGTGACTGTGTGTCCAGGGGCAGGTCAGTGCGAGGGGGGATGCGAACGTTGCGGTTGGGGGCAGATCCTCGGTTTTGGGGGGACCTCTCGGGGCTCCATCTGTCTGAGGACGGGGCCGTGTGCAAAGGGCTGGAGACAGGAGGAGCTGCGGGCGCTGGGTCCTCAACTGACACAGTGAGAGGGCCTAGAACAACACACAAGAAACATTCACAATTAGTGCCATTAGGCCCAGAGACATTTGGACAATGACTCAAGTTTTGTAATTAAATCTATTTAAGGGAGAAAAGTTATGTTCCTTCTGGGTATTTAGACTAAACTAAACCCGAATGTACTACATCCTTATTTGACATTTTGGTCATTACAAATCGTAATATTGATACTGTTAACGGTGACGTGTTGTTTTCAGACCCTACATGTATGATCCAGAGTCTGAATTTTTGGAATAATCACAAGTACAGGTGGGCGAGGATAGGGGATAATTGAAAACAGGACATTTTCTGTGCACTGGAGCATCAGCCAGGCTGGCACCACCTAGTGCCTCCATTCAATTTCATTTCTCTCCAGCAACTACTAGAAGGTTTGCAAGAATCCCGGAAGTTGTGGACCGCGCACTGACCAATCAGCGAAGAACTGAGAAGCCATGATGTCAAACTCAAGCACCTGTCTGGGTCCCTTTTGTGGTACAGCACAACAGTAAACAAAGAGGTCGAGATGTAGACGAAGCCATACATTCTGTGTTGGCAACGATTCCCGAGATTGAGGATTTAAAGCTGGAATAAAGAGAATGTTTGGTGAATTTTATCAAGGAGAGAGACATTATTGCCCTTCTTCCTACGGGATTAGGAGCATTACAACCAAACAGCAGAGATTGGTTAAATAAAAAAAAAAGTACCTGCCTACTGTCGAGCGAAAGGATCCTAATGCTGCGAGGTCAGACGGTTTCTACATAGCGAAACAAGCTGATGAATCAGGCTAATCAAATACAGAACTTTAATTATGCGACTGATGAAGGAACACTGGTATATCATAATTAAAAGGTCATAAAAGTAGATTTTATATAATATGTCTCATTTAAAAGCAAAAGTATCTGGGCAAAAGTAACTATTAAACATCGTTGGACAGTCACTGAATGGCCAGCCACCACAACTCATATTGAGATGGTTGTGGATGTTTCTGTGTGGAGCTTGAATTTTCTCTAGGTGGATTTAAGCCTTCAAATTAAAATCATGCACAAGAAGTGAAATCCTCCAGTTAAGGCAGTCCTGACCAAGCCCACAGCAGCTGGAAATCTGGATATGGGTCCCCTGAGTCCTCCTGACAGGTTACCTCAACGAAACTGAGGCATGGGTCAAACATATAAGACAGGAGCAACAACCCTCTATATCTTAAAATGGAAAGCAACCAGAGAGCGGGCATCTTACGGAGCAAGAATCCTGAACCCTTCTTCTCATTTTGACAGGAAAGCCCTACATCCCAAAGCGATTATGTAACCGTAGCTTCAATACTCTTAGGTACATGGATACAATAACAAAACTAATGTCAGTGACGGAATATTTATGGGCCTAACCGGAGAATGATGGAAGGGAGGAGGATTGGGAAATGGACAATATAAAGTGATGGAAATTCAGAACTCAGTGTTGAAATATTGAGGAAAAATCGTCTGTGAGTCAAACCAATGATGTCATATGAGATCAGGGTCACATGACAGAGACTAGATACAGATTTCAACTAACCCTCATAAGTAGGTCATAGAGAAATGCACTATAAAAACACTCCCACTTGACCCGCAGATCCCACCCGGCAATAAACATGTCACTTATTCTCAGCCCTCATTCTTCTTCTGTTGACTAATATGGAACAAACTATCACACTGTATTTGATTAAGGCTGGTCAATAGACACCACTGCCATAGTTCAAAAGAGATGTTGTATAAAAGCAAATCTACAGTACTTTAAAGACCCCATTTAAAACCTGATCTGTGTTATTATCTTGTTTCCTCATCACAAACAGACCTAAAGTTGTGTTTTGTTTCATTCACACATGTTTAACACAAACCCTCTTTTACATATTCTTTGAGTTCTTCCCTCAAAAAGAAAACACAAACAGATGTAGACAGACTAATAGCGCAGGATTACTCAAGCATATGCGAATAAAACAAAACACAACTCCAGATATGTTTTGGATGAGGTAACGACATTATAACATGGCTTAAAGCTCACAAGAATTCATTCAGCATAATACAACACCTTTAAATAATTTGAAACATCTTGCTTTTAAGGCTATTTTAGATGTACTAAGAAAACTGGCCTGGATTATTTCACTGGTTTAGACTCTCTACAGATATCTCTGTATTTTGTATGACCTGCTTTCAGATGTTTTGTGAATAAACAAATGAATGAAATATTAGCTTGTAAACTGTATTGTTTTTGTTTTTTTGGTTGGTGCTTTTCCATCACATAATATTGTCTTAACAAATGATGGACTGTGAAGCTAAAATGCAGTTTCATAGTTTTTCTCTCTGGTTAACATACTTTTATTCATTATTAATTCAAGCACAAATATCTGCCAAATTGGTAATACATTTGCAGACATTAGTGTAAATTCTAGCCTAATTCATCAGCTGGTTTCACTTTGTGGAAACCGTCTGACCCCACAGCATTAGGATTTGTTCACGTGATGGTAGGCGGGCACTTTTTTATTTAACCAATCGCTGCTATTTGGTCGTGACATATGTAATGCGCCAAATCCCATAGGAAGAAGGGCAATAACGTCTTTCCCCTTGATAAAATTCACCAAACATTCTCTTTGATCCGGCTTTAAATCCTTGATCTTGGGAATCGTTGCCAACACAGAATGCCTGGCTTTGTCTACATCCATCTTGACCGCTTTGTGTACTGTTGTGCTGTACCACAAAAGGGACCCAGACAGACGCTTGAGTTTGATGTCATGGCTTTGCTGATTGGCCGGTGCGCGGTCTACAACTTCTGGGGTTCTTGCAAACCATCTAGTGTATTCTGATTCCTGACCTAGTCGCTGGAGAGAAATGAAATTGAGCGGTGGCACAAGGTGGTGCCAGCCTGGCTACGTAAATTCAGCCTGGGGGACCAAACTTCGCTCCCATCTACCTCACAGCCTCTCCAGCGTTTACCTGCTCCTCAGCCTTCATCACCTCACTCCCATTACTCCTCCCCGCTGCTCACCGCCCCACCTCCTCCTCTTCACTGTCTGTCTAAATCTATCCAGGTTGAAATAAGAAATACACTGAAATATCTTCAGAAAATGCTTAAATCATAATCTTCTTCTAAGGCTGTGTTAACACTTTGATCATGGTTTAATCTGGATTAGACCTGTTCTAGTCCAAAATTCGATGTGACAAATGCACAAGTATGAACACAGTACAAGTTAAAGTAATAGTAAGTAAAATAAAAGTAGTGGGAATTATCTGTTTTTGCAAATGAACTCCTCAAAACCACAAATGCTTAAATAGATTACATAGCATGACGGCTTTAGACTTGTATTGTTGTAGTGATAATTGTACTGACTTCGTAGAGGGGCCCGTGCTGCTGGCTCCTGCTCCCTCGGCCTCCCTCTGGGCGGTTCTCTCACCCTCTCCACCATGCGCTCTCCCTCCTTCTTCTCCACAGGGACGTAAAACTCATAGTCTATGCCCGGATTCTTCTGGTGGAAAATGATCTGTGAAAGGAAAGGAGAAAAACACACACAGGTGTTAGCCGCAGATAGGAATATTACACACAGAGAAAAGGTGCATCCTGGTTTGGTCCTGGTTAGACTTGGGTCGGTCCTTTTGTAGTCCTGGTTTAGTCCAAGTACAGTCCCAATTTTGAGATGGTGTGTGTAAAAAATGTGAGTGCTCCCCATAAAACCCACCAGAAATACCAATATATGGACTTTCACACTTCAAATATTATGTTTTCACTATTTTTATACTAAACCCACAGCTTTTAAGGTAGACCAGTAGTTCCCTGACATATGTTCATTCAATTATCGACCTCTTTCAAGATATTTATGACTGAGTTTCATGTATTTTTTCTTGTAGTTAGACAAAAGAATCATTGTGTAAAGTATGATTTTAAACAATCTTAACTGCGAATCAATAAAGTTTGTCAAAATATAGGTCAAAACATACTTTTAAGTGCACGTTTTTATTTCACACACATTTTTTTATTGAAACTAGACAAAAATATATTAATAGCAGTGAGAAGTACCTTATACAATTCCAAAAATCTAGGTCAGCTGACAAGATACTGTAGCCTACATCTGAACTCTTATTTTATCTTTAACTCCAGCAGCTGTTTATTTATTCTTTTTATGGACATCTGTAATGTTTTAGTCCTGGGCTCTTTCTGTACTATCATGTTTTGATCAGCAGTGTGTGGGGTACTGTCATATTTCCTATGAACTATGTCTGTGTTTGTTGAGTGACTAATGCGTCAGAGTCAACTCCAGCTGCAAACCAATTCTACCTGCGGGTAAAGTGACATGAGCTCGACCTATTAAATACACAATCATGCTTCTGAATTAAATCAATGCAACTTGAAGGTATTTCAATTAAGGCTGTAGTTGACTGATGTAACAATAAACAAAATATTGTGATATTGTATCGTCAAAAGTCTCACAATAATATCGTGGGCTGTCATAATATATCGAATCACAAGTTCCTTTGCTTAAATGCATGGTTTTATAGTAGCAACAGCTTAGAAACATAGGGAACTACATATCCCATGATTCATTTCAGTGCAGACAACAGGAAGAGATATGTCTTTTACTTGAATTCTTGGGATTATGATGGTAATAATTCACACAAAAGTCTTGTCAAGGTATTTTAAAAGCAAAAAAGTGTTCCATCTACAATTATATGAGTCTCTTAAAAATATCGCAATAATATTGTATCGTGAGATTCATATCACTTTATAAAGAAGTTTAAATGTTTAACTCTGGACAGATACATGAAATATGATACTTAGTTTGTGCTGTAGTACTTTGTTGTACTGTTTCTTATTTGTTTGTTTCCTCTTGCTGTATTTATGAAGATGAACTGGTGTTAAAATGACACTGACAAAGGAATAAAGGGTAAAGGCATAATAAGCTTAAGCTTCAGCCTAAACTTTTTCGGTCTGTGTGTGTTAAATATGATTGTCTGTGAATTAATGTCAAAATATACCTGTGACCGAAATAAATAAATATTCAATCAATCAATATCGTGATAATATTGTGAGATTTGGATATCGTTACATCCGTACTAAAAGGGAACATGGCAAGAGCGTTAAAAACTATTATGTATCTCTATGTATCTGACTCAAACTGCATTTACAAGACTGTAACTGCACAAGAGTTCATGTAAAAACAACAATTTATGCAAAAAAAGGCATAGGAAACAATCTATTTTTTATTATTATATATTAAACTTGTGAATCATGAGTTTAATCTTCCTTTTTAGATAACAGAAAGAAGTTAGTGTTAGAGTTTTTGTCCCATATAGATCCTTATAACTGAAAAAAAAAAAAAAGATTAGACAAATTTTGGTCAACTAAGACACCATTGACCGTTTAATCAACCAAAAACGACCAAAGGCCCATAGCCATCCTATTGCAGAGTTTATTGTGAAACAGTTGAAATATCACGAGGCTCACTGATCCATGGGCCTAATCCACAGTTTGAGCACATTGACACACACACAAAACAATCTCTACTTCCCTTCACGCAGGGGTCAAAGGTCAAGGGAAACTATAGCGCAGCTCCTATAGTGAGTGCCTCCCTCTCGCCACAGAAACGCTCAGTCCATTTAACAAGACTTAACACAAGCACAGACATAAGCAGCCATGTGGCAACTGCATTTTGAGCTGTTTTCCGGGAAATTTAAGCACAACATTGCCAAAAATATCATCCCAAATCCAACGTTATTTGTATAGCTCTTTATAGCACATTGTAAACAAGACAGTTGAAATGCAGCACTTAGTCGCAATGTAAACCCAATATAATCTTTCCCCATTCAAAACATATAATATTGGGATTTGAATTGCTTAATTGCCATGGTGATGGAGGGCTGTTTTGCCGTAGCTTGAAGCGTGAAAAGATGTTTTGCCGTAGCTTGTGTTTAATTCAGAATCAGCTTATTTTTGTCCACTTTTGAATTTGTCGATGTTCACAGCGTAACTCGTCATGGTTTAGTCCTTGTTTAGACCTGGTTTAGTTCTGTGATAGACCTGGATTAGATGTGATAATCAAAAAGACAGATTATTTTGTAACAGTGGTAGTTTTAGAGCAGGGGTGTCAAACTCAAATTCACAGAGGGCCAAAATTAAAAACTGGGTCTAAGTCGTGGGCCAAACTAAATATTTATTGAACAATTTCAACAACACCTGCATGTTTTCTCTTCTTTCGAGATATGTAATGTTAAACCTTTTCTCATTAAAATAAATGTTTAATAATAGTTTTGCTTAAACATTGAATCCACAACAAGTATGATATAAAATAATAACAAAATCTTAAATAATGAATAGCCTATCTGCTCTAATATATATTTGATATAAGCTCGAGGGCCAAACATAATTATATTGTGGGCCAAGTTTGGTCCCCAGGCCTGAATTTGACATGTCTGTTTTAGAGAGTAATACTTGGAAAAACAGTTACAATATTGATTTGAGTAGCCTAGACTTACAATTCTTTTTTGACATAGATTAATTTCAATTCTATTACTGCTATCAATTATTCTTTATCTAAGTAATTTAACTTATTCAGAAAATGTTTTTTGTACTGTATGTTTTACTTCATACCTATTCTATAAATACGTGCTGTCATGAAAACGAATGTAGAAATGCCAAATACTAAATCTTGATATTTTGTCTTCTCTCACATTTTTAGTTGTCATATTTCGAGAGCGCTGTTTGCTCAACCTAAAATGCATGTGATTCTTGGTTATTTTTACCCCCTTTTGCCTTAAAGCTGGTGGAAGACTTCTGTTCTTTAATAAGACCCCTGCCTCGGATGGAGTTGTTATTATTAGGCTGATATTATCCAGAGCAAGCTTCACTATGTCTGCTCTTTATCCAACCTTAATACTGAAAAAACGCTGTGTTAATGCAGTCTATCTGAGAGATCTTGACACTGAGCAGAGAAACTACGCCTCTGGCCTTATTGAAAGTTACAAAGATTTAAAATGCCCGGTGCATCCGTGTGTGGGGGTGATTTTATCGCTAATTTAATTTAAACCACATACATGTTTGTAAAGCTCTTTCATAATATACAGTTTTGAGTACATGGATTTCTATAGAGACTAGGATTTTGTATACAGTTTTGAGTTAAGTTTATTGTACAGTAGTTACTTTTCTCTGTATTTAATTTATAAAAGAAAAAGCTAAAAGTTTTAGGTAATGAAGAGGTAGAGAAGAGTTAACACCATTGTCATAGCACCAATTCAAAACAAAATTTCTACCTTTCAATGGTCAAAAGTCCTCAAAATATCACCTATAAACATAAAATCCATGAATAGGCTACTGCACAAAGACAGAGCCTCAGATGGGCGTGATTGACAGGTGGATTAGCCATCAGAGAATCACACGGGTTGTTCATATCAAAATAAACTTTGCTGCTTTGATTTTGTTCTAAATGATAAACCAACAGGCTTGTTCGTTTCCAGTGTATCTTTGAAACAAACAAGGCTGATTGCACAACCTTGGTAGGGGGAGGGTGTGGTGATGAGACTGTAAACCTAAGGCTTTCCGTCAATAAGCTCAGTCTATGAGTCAGTTTCCCATGCTTCACTGCAATAAACAACCAGACTAATATCCGCTGTCTATATATAGAAAGAGCTTTAGTCTGGATACCAGGCTACGAGAAAATTACAGTGTTCAACAATTAATTTTAATCCAATAATTGATATGATTTCTTTTATCGTGTAATATTTAGAATCCGTATAGAACAGGCGGCAGTAGCTCAGTTAGTTGAGTGTTTGTCTACTGATCCAAAAGTTGGCAGTGCAATTCCAGCTCCCATGAATGCTGTTGTTGTGCCCTTGGACAAGACATGTAACACACCTAGCCCCCAGTGTCACTGGTGCGTACATTGATGTATAAATGTGTGTATGGTTCCTTGTTGTAAAGAGGTTTGAGTGCCTTGAGGGTGGAAAAGCGCTACATAATCAGTGTTGGGAGTAAAACGTTATGAAAGTAACGAATTACTGTAATGCATTACTTTTTGCTGTAACACAGTAAAGTAAGGCATTACAGGAAAAAAAATGTAATATTTTACTCGGTACAAATGTTACAATGCATTTTTAACCTAGATTGAAGTGAGTTTTTTGTTTTCCTTCATACAAATTCAGATCAGCAGTGGTGAAGCACCGTGGTTATGGTTCCGAATGTCGGGACGGACCCAGAGGTGTGCACGTGTAGACGGTCCAGTGACCGCAGGCGAAAGGACGACGCGCCCCACAGGGTTAACCGCAGCGAACACCCTGCTCAGCGGGCTTGGGGTTCTCTCAGGGGAGGTCCTAGATTCAAGATTAGACCTGGTTTACACCTGGTTAAGTCCTGGTTTACTCCTGCTTTAGACCTGGTTTAGACCTGGTTTAGACCTGGTTTAGACCTGGTTTAGTCCTGGTTCAGTTCTGGTTTATTCCTGGTTTAGACCTGGTTTAGACCTGGTTTAGACCTGATTTAGATCTGGTTTAGACCTCGTTCAGTCCTCCTGGTTCAGTCCTCGGTTCAGTCCTGGTTCACTTCTGATCCAGTTCTGGTTCAGTAATGGTTTAGTTCTGGTTTAGTCCTGCTTCAGTCCTGGTTCAGTCCTCCTAGTTAAGTTCTCAGCTCAGTCCTGGTTTAGACCTGGTTTAGTCCTGGTTCACTCCTGGTTCAGTCCTGGTTCAGTCCTGGTTCAGCTCTGGTTCAGCTCTGGTTCAGCTCTGCTCTGGTTCAGCTCTGGTTCAGCTCTGGTTCAGTCCTGGTTCAGTCCATATACGGCGCAAAAGTTCAGCATTTTCGCTCGCTGCTCATTATTTGACAATCGGCGACATTCATTTTGTTGAGAGTAATTTAAAAGTGCTGTAATAGTCTTGTAATGTCTTACATTTTAAATACAGTAATATTGTAATGTAACAAATTACTTTGAAATGCCAGTAACAAGTCATAAATAACGCATTACGGTTTAGTTTTGAAGTAACTTGCTCAACAGTGATAATAATAATAATGCTAAACACACTGGCATACTGGACTCACATAAAGCTGCAGTTGTGTGGTGGTGGGTCCGGGTGCTGTCAGGGTCTCTCCTCGCTCCTCTTCCCCCTCGGCGTGAGCTTTGGGTCGGGAGTAGGTGAACGTGGTCCCCCCCGCTTTGTACTCTCCTGGAGGGTCCACAGCCCACTTCCCATTCACCACCGACGCACCTGTACCACTGCGCATGGCTGGAGAGAGCGCAAGCAAACAGGTCACAGAAACAAGGTCAAAATTAATCCTATTTGGGGTTTGTTTAGTCTGGATGTTTGGGGACCCCCTCATAAGCACTCACTGATAGAAAAACATGTGAAATTCTGTGTAGTAAAAAGCTGGAAGCCTGGAAAAGCACACACAGTCCTGCATGCTTCACTGATTTCTTATGGACGTCTAACAATACAACCTTTATCTGCGCAAAGTCTTAGAGGCCTCGGATTTAAAGTATTTTCTAGGCCAACACACACAACTAGAAACTAAATCCTCCGCTACACGCAAAAAGATCAGACTGCTGTTGATAAGTTTGGTTCCAACATACTCACGTAGTTAAGACTTGGATGTCTTTCTGTAATGTTAATGAAACTGTTGTGTAATGGACAAAGTTAAGTCCACAGTTTTTGGTGGGTCTTGTAAAGCAAAATCATGTTATGAGGTTGAACAAGAAAAGCATTGTGTTGTATTGTTAGTGTGTTTAGCATAATTTGGGTAATTCTGGCCAATGAAACAGATATTAATCAAGTAAAAATAAGGGAAAATAAACTTGTCACACTTAAAATTTGATAAAACAAACATTTATTCTATCAGTGGAAATTCGGACACACCCTCTCATTAATTTTTTTCCCTTTATTTTTACAACTTTCAACATTTTATATGTGCACAGAAGGCATCAAATATATGAAGTATGGAGTTATTTCACTTTTTTCATTCCATATACTGTATCTTACTTCATATATTTGATGTCTAGTAAAAATAAACTATAAAAAACATTGAATGAGAATGTGTCCAAACTTCTGACTTTGACTTTTGATCACTTGAAAATTGAGAAAATCATAAAAAAAATACTTTTCTTTTGGTAAGGCCAAATCATATTAACTTAGAATACAGTTTTGTTTTCACTAAAAAAAACCTTTACAGAATAGACACATATATAAATAATACCAACATAAAATTCAGATTACAACTCAATAGCTGTTTATGAGTGTGTCCTTACGTACCCAGGTAGTTGGGACTTGCACGTCGCTCTGTGATGTTGATAAAAGTTGCTCCTGATGGAATGTCCAGGATTTTGTGGTAGCCGAGGGGAACGGAGGCATTCTGGAAGCTGCCGGTCACTTTCCGACAAGACGAGTCCCGTCCTCCGCAAACACCGCATTTGTCAATCACAGATCCAGAGCCCAGGACTCCATCACAGCCCTCCGACTGAGATAAGGAGAAAACACAAAAAGGTGGTTAAAACGAGTTGAAGAGCATACAACTCATTTTACAAAAACACATAAGGGCACATAAGATTTTACTAAAACATCGACTAGTTTATTTTTCTATGGTGAAGTTTATTATTTGACTTTCTGGTTGGGCACAGGAAAATATGACAAAACTGCGACTTGCAATCATAAGGTTAACAAGGGTCAGACTCTACTAAATTGCTCAATAGTTATATTTAGACGTAGTATGTTTTTGTTAGGTTTAAATCGCCAGAAAAATGCCTTTGCGCGTAACTTATCGCTGCATTTTGGACAGAATTTCAGTGTTGATGACAGACTGATATTTGTTTAAAATACATCACACTGAACACTAGTTCAGATATTACCGTAATTTCCATACTATGAGCGGACCTGAATATAAGCCGAAGGTGTCCACTTCTTCAAGAATGTTTTCAAGTTCTGGCCATCTGCTTTTATCGCCTCTGAAAGATTCTGTCATCTTTTTGCACTGAGACAGTTCGTCACGCTGCCGTCACCAAAATCTCACTATCGACTCATTGAGGCCGAGTCACGTGCAGCAGCTCTGTTTCTTTCTTCAACAGCCACATCAATCACCTTTAACTTAAAAGCTGCTTCATGTGTATGTCTTTGTGTGTTTCCCATGAGGAGGATGTGTGTATGAAGTGCAAAATAAGAGTTCAAAACACAATCAAACGAGCATCTTCCTCGGCGCATCACCCCCGTCTTTATTGTGCATGACTCCTGCAGAAAGTCAGTGTTACGCTCCAGATCCATGTGTCAGTGTCTCGGTGGATTTCAGAAGATTTCAGGCTCTCCCGGGGGTCTCGGTTAATTTTATCGATCAGGTATGAGTGGATGTCCGGCTACTGAAGTTTGAGACGTTTCTTCTGGTCATTTATGCATACGAGTATGACATGCATGAAGTTGCTAGCAAACGCTGCAACTTCATGTTAACCCTAGATCCATGTGTGAATCGTACACACAGCAGCACTTTCTGCACTCAGGCTGCACGTCCATCTGCTGTGTTGCCAAACCGTAGACCAGGAGTCTCCAACCTGTAGCTCGGGAGCTACTAGTACCTCTCCACCCCCTTCCAAGTAGCTCGCCAAATGATTTCTGAAGTATACATATTGGCTGAATGGCTCAAATTTGATCAACTGTCATTGTAAATGTATAATTTTGATGCCTAACTTTATTAGGGTGACCAGATGTCCCTATTTACCCAGGACTGTCCCAGTTTTGAGCCTGTGTCCCCTGTCCCAGCAGATTTATCCCAAACCACTGATTTGTCCCAGCTTTATACAAGAAATGTCCCTGGTGTCCCTATTTTTGACCAATTTCATACCTGCCAATAGTACGTAAACAGAGGCATAAATTCTCATTTGTTTTGGTAAAATACAGAAAAGCTGCTTAAAACTACCAAAACACAAAGAAAAATATGACTATACTGGTACACAAGTTAGTCATGAATGGTCTCTGCATAACAATTTTCCTTAATTATACACTCACTTCACAATTTTATTATAACCTGCCACCAAAAAATGGGGATGTCCCTATACTTTGTGCACTAATAAATGGATAAAGGTTTATGTTTATAGGTGTCGAACTGTTCCCCATCTAAAGCTTTCACCAGAATAAAAAGGTTGGACCCCTGCCATGGACCGTATATATATATGAATAGACAATCTGCTAAATCATCCATCCATATATTAGCCGCAACATTGTATAAGACTGATAGTTATAGTTTCGGAAATTACGGTAATCTAAATATCTTTTTATTATATGATTAAACTGCTGAAATTGTGGATTTAAGAGGGATATTGCACTGGGGTATGGGGTATTAACTGCGAACACATAACATGTTTAGATCACCATGTTACCTTGTACAGTTTTGAAAATGCTATAATTACCCACTCGCCAAGCACCAAGCATGTTTTTGATGAGAAAAAACATTATAACATGGTAGAAAGCTCAAAAAGTGGGTTTTGCATAGCCCCTCTTTAATCACCAATAAATCTATTAATGCTGACAGGACAACTTGTAAATGATGGTAAGAGTTGAGAGTAAAAGCAGTAGAAGAATGGTACATTTGGGAGGAGGGGCAGAAACAAAGCAGAGCAGATATTTTCCTTCACTGTTGACATTTCAAATCCAGTGCCAGTGTTTATTTCATCGGTTCGTGCGTAAATCAGTGAGCTGCCAAATCTTCAGGAGGGCAGATGAGAATGAAAACATGTGCAAATGAGACAAAGTGAGACCCAGACAATACAGGGGCCCTGGAGGGAGACAGTCTGAGTAATGATGCCAAGCTGAACTCAGAAACTGCACTGTAAAAATAAATACTATCAACATGGGCTACAATAAGTATAATTCAAAAATATTTATCTTGTTTGACTAGTTTAGACTTATTGTAGTAGAACATCTGTGTGAATAACTTTTTCCCTTAAAGGTCCTATAATACATAAAATTGACTTTTGTTTGAGCTTTCAAACATGATATAATGCTTTTACTAGGGACCAATTGGCTGATATTATTGGCCGGTGAGGGCACTTGGAGACACACTGGGCCTGGACTGGGTCTGGTTAGTACTTGGATGGGAAACTGCCAGTCGCAAAAATTGTTGTTATGTCCTTAGGCAAGGCACTTCACCCACATTGCCTAGTATGAAAATGGTGAGTGTCAGTGATGTAAGTGGTGATGGTCGGAGGGGCTGATGGCGCAGATTGGCAGCCTTGCTTCCATCAGTCTGCCCCAGGGCAGCTGTGGCTACATTAGTAGCTTATCACCACCGGGTCTGGAGTGAATGAAAAATGCTCTGTAAAGCATCTTTGAGTGTCCAAAAAGCACTATATAAAACTGATGAATTATTCTTCTTATTATTATAAACACAATATTAAAATTTTACATTTTCAACTTTCAGACCCCCAAACTCACCCGTCACACAAGATTCTGTTCTAGATGTACACTTTTGGACATTTGAGTTGCTTTAGGTACACAAGCAAAAGTGTAAGCATTTTATGAAACAATCCAGACAAATATGGCACATCGCCATAAAAAACATGAGAATGTGACTCATTATCTTTAGTTAATTAGTTAAAACAGTTGCCCTTGCATTTTACTTTCAACACTTGTGATTACCAACAACTTCAGTTCTCATTGTAATTTCTGTTGTTCTGACTTTTCTGTCAGGTTTAATATTCTCTTTAAATCACATTATTAATGTGTAAAGTGTCATTCATTATTCATGTTTGTATTTTACATGCATGCCTCATAACTGAAGACAAGACCAACACAGGCACAGTTCACACTGGTCCAGTGATGTGAATTTACAGTGCTGTTAGGCTGATAAGTTTTTCTCTCGTTTCAGACGGTAGTGACTTCTGGTCCTGCTTCAGCCAGCTCTCACAGCTGTGTCAAAACAATCAGCAAGAATAAGAAGAAGTCTTCCTCTAAAAAGAAACCTGACGATGCCTGCACAAAGGCATAGATTGTGTCAGGTGATAAAAGCAAAGCAAAAAAGCATTTCACGGTGCCTCTAATGAGGAAGAGCTGGGAAAACGTTTGAGCTATTGAAGCCCCATGTTCCTGTGGCTCCTCGGCCTAAACCCGCCTGCCCCGTGCTGGTCAAGCCTCCAGTAGAGCTCAGTGCTGAGAATTTGGCCCCTGGTGTGCCATAAGATCAAGTCAAGAGTCCAGCCTCCCCCTAAAAATGCGGTCCTGTTTTATGAAGACGTCGATCTCCTCAAGGTACTCTGCTCTTTCTCTTGTTCTCTTGATGGTTTATAAAGTTATGTTTATAAGAATAACACTTGTTTTTTCATAAAGGCCACTGTGGCGCCAGTGTTCAGGAAACCTGCCCAGGAGCCTTGTGCTTCATCTACAAAGGTGAAGGAGAGTGTCCTGATGAAACATGTCTCTCATCTTTCAGTCCACAGAATCACAGAATCATGCCATTAAAAATAAAAAAATATATATTCACATGATTTGCAATTTCAATTCAACTTGCACATTGTTTGAAAAAACAAAAACCATTGTTGGACTTTCTCAGACCAGCGCAGCTCCTTCAGCTTATCCCACCGAGGAGAGTCCTGTCTCTAAACAGCAGAGCACAGCCCATTCTGCTGCAAGGAAAGTGGTGTATAAACACATTGTCCCACTGTAACCCCCTGTACACTGGAGCCTGCAGCACCCTGGTTTCTCTCAGTGACCACAAAGAAGAAAAAGTATAGGGTGCTCTAGGGCTCAGAGGCATCTTTTATCACTGGATGACTGGACGCCAGTGGTTCACACAGGGTCCTACTCACTTTTATTAACTGCAGAACAAAACAAAACAAAAAACAAAAAAACAAAAAAAAAAACAATTAAATTGATTTGTATTCAAACTTTGTGTTTTTGCCCACGATGGGCCCCTCAAAGTGCAAAGAATTTGATATGCACACTGAACGTCTGGGCAGTGCGTAGTGCAGGTTACTTCTTGATTATACACTACCAGTCAAATGTGTGGACACACTTTTTCATTATTTACATTGTAGTTTATCAATGAAGATGACACAACTATGAATAACCACATATTCAAGGTAGTAAAGAGAAATACAAAATAAATGACTGACAGGACACACCTGAGAAGTGAAAACAATTTAAGGAAACTTCTTCAAGAAGCTCATTTAAAGAAGGGTTTGTAGCTCTGTTAACACAGCAAAGCAAGGCTACTTTGAGGACTTGAGGACAGTAGAGACTGTGAATTCCAGGTCTGAAATTCTAAATGATTTTAGTGAAGGTGTATGGAGTTTAAAAACACAGTGGAGCACTTCCTGTGTGACAACATGGCATCACAAGTTGGAACAGGGCGTTTCTGTTTATATCAGCCTAAATATGCAGGGTTTGTGTTGTAAACATGTGAAAGTGAAACAAAGCGGAACTCAACTGTTAATGAGGAAACATCATTTTTTCCCTCTCTCCTCATGTTATGCTGTAATGTTTTTCTTAAAGGTGCACCTTGATAAGGCTGCAATACCTGAATTTCCTTTTCGGGGGATCAATAAAGTATTTATTTATCTATCTAACATTATAACATAGATCAGGAAATAGTGAAATATAAGTCCCCTTTAAAGATGCTACTTTCTGTCTGGTAGAGGGTCCTCCACCTTCATGGGGATGGTATAGCTTTGACTGAAATGACCCACAGTATGGCATTAAGCTCATCTACCCCCATGGAGATGGATTTATAAAGAGGGAACCCCACTCACAGTATGAATGTTTTTTTTTTCAAGCTATATTTTTTGGCAAAAAATGTAATTAGATTCGATGTTTTGTTTAATATTTGAACCTCAACCAAGACATTTACGGGCATGTTTCAGCACATTTCTTACAATAGACTTTCTTTGTATCTATGTGGCTCATTGGTTTCATTAACTGATACAAGTGTTGCACCTTAAACCACTCAACTACTGGATTTTTTGCCAATATGTCCCACTGCTTCTTGAAACATAAAAATCTAAAATCTTTACTAGTCTAAATGAAGATTTTGAATTCGAGTCAGTTTGATTGATGTTGTTTTTTGCAGTGTGGTGTTTTCAAAGGCTGGCTAGACAGGGACATCTTTAACACGTCAATGGGGCATTTGGCACACACACAGGAGGAGCACTCACCAAACACTGGCCCTCCACGCACACGTCGTTGGCACTGGAGTTGAAGCAGGATGTGCCATCTCGGACTCTCTCGGCCTGGCGCACGTAGAAGCGGTACCCAGACGGTCTGCAGGTCAGCTCACACTGTTTATCAGGACCAACTGGAAAAGACCAGGGGACACAGGTTGGGTTTTCATGATTCTTCATTCAACATTACATTGAGTTGCATTTCCTGGAGATGGATCCTAACTCATTACTACATGTTAACCTTAACTTAAACTCTAAATAAAAAACAAAAAAAGACAAAACCAAACTCTGACACTCCAAATACACATTGAAGTACACAAGAAAAAAAAACAAAACACTGGGCAATCAAACATCAACTAAAGTCCAATATTGTCAAAAGAGTCAAAAAGAATGTCTTAATACATTGTAACTAGAGGTATAAGAGTACAAAAATATCTTGGTTTTGAGGTCACAGTTCAAATTTATTTTTGGCACTGTATAAGAACAAAATGCAAAACCATCTGTGTTTATTAAACCAACAATTTGTTTTAACATAATACAAACAGGAAAATAAAATAAATGCAAAGTGCAAAAATTAAAATGCTGCACTAATAGTTCCAGCATGAACTTTTACTCAGTCTTCATATTTTTGGCCAGAAAAAAACAACTAGTCCACATTGTCTGCAGTAAGTGCAGATCTGCTGCAGTTATAACGTCCCCAACAGTTGAAAATACCCTTTCGCTTGGGACAGAGGTCGCGGGTATGGAGTGAGTGGAGATTCCGTGCCGGTGAAAGGCAAAAGTGAGTGATCGTAGTTTTGCGAAGATTCACGTGGTTCGGAGGGAGGTAGTTAAGGTGGGGGGCAATTGTTGTCAAGGTGGCCGCTCTAACTATAAAGCGCTGCTGGAAACACTGCCACCCCAATCATGCACGAGTTCCCTTGTGAATATTAAAGAGCTGAGCCTTCTGTGTAGCTGCACAAGGATTAGCGGAATGTAAACACACACCCCTTGTCGTTACACCCCTAATTGTAACCCAGACTTGAACTTTAAGTCACGTCGTTGATCTAATAATAAAGAATTTATGCCATCTAGACCTTTTTGTCCCCATATGTGAGGCAGTTCCCCCCGATATATGGCCCCCCATGATGTAAGCACCTGATTTAGTCCTACTGTTGTAGCCACATCTGCCCTGGGATAGATTGAGAGAAACAAGTCTGCGGGTTTGCACCATTGGCCCCTCTGACCACCACCAACCACTCACTCACACACCGCATTCACACTAGACAAGGTTGGCGAAGAGTCTTGACAATATGCACTGTTACGGCACCTGGTATTCCCAACACAGCAGTCTTCCAAATCAGAAACGACTGGAAATTTTACTAATCTAATACTCTTACATAAAATTACAACTAATCAAAGAGGAAGTAGTATTTTAAATTGAAATTGGCTTTAGGCACACATAGCCACTGCATCTAAAATGTGTCTTAATGCTCTTTTTAGTGACTACAATCAAGCCTGTGTGACAGAAGACCACAGCTTTTTGCAGAGCAGAGAAAGTATTTCACCCAGTTCAGTTGCACAGAGAAAACTTTGAACTTTGTGCCAGTTTTGTTTCACGTTGATAGTGCCAGTAATGACAGAGACATTAACCATAAACAATGATTTGCCTTTTGACATTTTAACTATGAACCCGCTCTCCACCTCTGTTTTATCCCGTAGAGTGTCATGACATCACATGGACATAAACTATCTGAAACAAGGGCACAGCTCTCTGATTGGTCTATAAACAGATTTGTCATAAGTCTGTGAACTCTGCGATGAGCGTCTTTCCATGTGGGCAGGAAACCGAGGCTAGACGTATCGCGCCTGTCAGACTGAACTGCACAGATGAGAGATTTCTTCATATTTTTCAGTGGCCCAAGAGCACAGCTGCACCTTCCCCAGAGATAGGCTCCCGAAAAGAGGTGCAAATGTGAGACACGAGGGAGGATTCGATTTATGACAGCACCAACAGGGCTCACTGCAGGAGAGACAGAACGCTGAAAGAGGAACCAAAGATGGAAAAAAGAGAGGGTTTAAAGGAGGAAAGGAAATGAAAAGATTGTGGAGGAGGACGAGGAGAGAATAAGAAATAGGTTATATAACAGAAATATGGGGAAATGCTATGCAAAAGTGTAGAATGAAACTTGGATAAACTATGAGCACAAAGGGTGTAGAGAAGTGTGTGTAATTAGTAAATATATTTTAATAGAGATCAAGATTTTGTTATTTCTGTTAATGATCAGCTTAGGGCTTGCGGCGCCTCTGTCAGTATAAGTGTGTGGTTTGGAGCAGAGTTCAGACTTTGGAGGAAGAAATCTGACTATTTTCTATGTAGAATGGCAATGATTAAAAGTATGTCTTGTTTATTTTCTGGAAATTAGTAATGGAAGCAATGTGTGCTTTGTTTTATTAAGGCAAAATAAAATCAAATTGAAACTTGAGATGGTTCAAAACAGGAAAGAAAATTTTGATTAATATTTTTGGAATTGGCCCAGAGGTACCAAAGTGTACATAAGAAATTGCCAAATCAAAACTACAAAATGCTATAATTTCTAACTCACATTGGAAATAAAAATGTACCTTGAGCTAAAAAAGCAGGTTCAAATCCCAGAAGGAGCCTTTCTGTACAGAGTATGTCCAGCTAAATAAACATTAAATGGGCACTAATTACATTTTTAGGTGGACGAGCCTGAAATGTTCCACAGTTCCAAAGTTATTTAGTGCACCTTTAAATATGCAGCTAAAACCTGGAACAGTCTTCCTGAACATGTGAGACAGGCCTCTTCTGTGACGCTGTTTAAATCCAGACTCAAAACATTTCTGTTTAACTGTGCATATGACTGAAAGGTTTTCATTCCGCACTCTTCTCTCCAATTTATGTCTCTCTTTTTAAAAATTTTAATCTTCATGATTATTTATGTTTTGATTTGTTTTTATTATGATTTTAATGTATTTCTTATTCTGTAAAGCACTTTGAATTACTTTGTGTACGAATTGTGCTATACAAATAAACTTGCCTTGCCTTAAATAGAATAAATAAATAGAATGTAATAAAAAAATATGCGTACAAGCTTACAAGCCGACAACACCCATGCTTCTGTACGTCAATTTTTCATAAATATACAAGAACGATACAAAACAATACACTACAACTTCACAAATCTGACGCGATGTGCAGTAGTTTCATTAGTGAAATATAAGTCGATTCCAATGTGAAAGCGCTCTGAATGGGGAGTGACTTAGCGTGGGGGGAGCAGAAACAAAACTGAAACTTATTATGTTAACTTATTATTAAGGATGTAACGATATCCAAATCTCTCAGTACGATATTTTCACAATATTTATTGCAATATTTTGTAGAGGCTAAGAAAACTGTGCTACTTTTTCCTCTTAAAATGCCTTGACAAGATTTAATAAGATTTAAAAGTGTTTATAACAGTTATTCCTTCATGTAGTTTGCGCTGAAATAGAGCAAAGGATCATGGTCTATGTAGTCTCTCTGTTTTTTTAGGTATTGCTGCACCATAACTATTCATTTAAGCAAAGAGAATTGTAATTCGATATATTGTGATGGTCCACGATATTATTGTGAGACCTTTAGCAATACGATATCACGATATTTTGGTTATTGTTACATCCTTACTTGTATTTTCAACGATTCTAGCATTTTAAAACTAACAGGTAACCATTACTACCCCACAGTAGTGTAATATCACCACTTTAAACATTAAAGATTTGATCACAGGACCCTGTATGAATCATTTTATAAAATAGTCAACCCCCAAAACACAATTCATCATCTATTAGGCTCACGTCACTCTGAGTTTTCCTTATGATGAATGTCCGCCGTTGTTTTTAATGAGCCAAAGTGTGAGAAAGGTTAAGTGGGACACCCGCAGTCTCTCCATCACCCAACTATTAGTGTAATTAGCCTAAACTTAAACAAAGAAGGATATGGTCAGACAAATGAGAGAGGCAGTTAAGAGAAAGGTTATGCTGCTTTGAAGTTTAGACCTGGTAAGACACGGGGTAAAAGCTCGGAGCACTGGGGTGAGTGTCAGATAAGCATGAGCTCATCGAAGCTTGTGTAAAGGAGGTCATAGATTTAGCTGCAGATGGGAGGGAGGGTCCACTGTCATTGAGAGTTCAAGGGTTAAAAGGACAAATTCTGCTTCTGAAATGGCAACTTAGCACCACGGTCTTAAATTTCACGGATGTTTTATGGCAAAGTTATATCCAGGGGTTACTGCAAGGGTCAAACCAGTGAATCAAAACAAACTCGAATGTATCCGGGTGATTAAACCCACTGAAACTGGAGTGTTTTAGTGTATAAAAGTAAAAAAGTAGGACTACAAAATTAAAGATAAATCATGTAACGCTTCTTCCACCTATTTATCTTCATAGAAATGTTATTGCTTTACCTAAAATGTTCAATAATACGGTATTAAAGAGCCCATATTACACTATTCTCTGATCTGTCTTATCATAAAATCATACCAGGAGTTGTGTTTTGTTTCATTCACACATGTTTAACACGCTTCTCTTCTCAGAAACAGAAAACACTCTGTTCCACATTATGTTGTCATGTGGTAATTCAACATGTGCTCAACAGTGTTTTTAAACTCTATACATGTTCACTAGAATCATTTAGATAATTTCAACTTTGGAATTGTCTATTTTTACTGAACTTGATATAAAAAGTATCTGTTAACTTGAAAACTACCACTACATGACATCAATAAATCAATTAATCAACACCTTTATAAATCCCAAAGGGCAATTCAGTTCGCACATCACTGGTCGTGCACAATTCATAAATAATAAAAAGAAAAAAGAAAATCGAACACATGCAACACACGCTGTACATTCGAACCTCAGTGCATCAGGGAAACAATAGAAAATTTACTTCCCATTTAAAAGTTTTATGGCAGAAGGAATAAAAGATTTAGTGTTGGTCTTTTGTCGTGGGGTGACATATTGTCTCCCAGACGGCATTTGCAGAAAAAGTGAGCGCAGTACATGGTTAGGCTGGCTCAGTATGGCCTTAGTCTTTTGGAGCACCCTATGTCTCTACACAGACGCCAAATCCTCCACCTGAACACCACTGATT